TTCATCATGACAGAAAAAGCCAAAGAATACCTAGCACCAATGTCATGATGACAAACTTGGGTAACCATGGATGCATAGAATCAGCTAACAAAGTAAGCGGGTCGGTAAACAATCGACCTCGAGCAACCCAATCATTCTAGTGGAAACCGGCAACTGTTTGTGACTTAAAAGAATTCGCCATTTGTGTGGGCTAATTAATATCCACCGACGCTTAAAACCGGAATATATTATCCTTAAAAGTCAATGGTTGTTCTGCATGATCGAGGCTCCTGTTTTGAATGTGTAGCTTTATGCGTGCTATTAATTTTACTGTCGCGCGAAAATCGAAGATAAAAATTTTCCATAACGTCAAAAATAGGCACTTTATGTAATGTATACTAAGATCAACAAAGACTAGTCTCACAGAGCTCAGTTCTGCCATATCATACTACAGACGAATGTCTCAAACATGGTACTACAAAGCCTAAAAGAAGAATTATGATTGAGAGGATGAACTAAGACGACGTTGCAAAGACAAGATTGTAATACAGAAGAAACTTAACGCAATCGAAGGCATCGAGCAAGACCTAAACATGCCCTGTGTAAAAATACACCATGGCGTGCACCATCTGAACAAAGAACGACAACTGTTACAGGTAACAGAAATGGCGAAAAAAATCTATACTGATGCTAGTCATTATCACTGTCAGGCCAGTTTCATGCGTCAATTATGCGATACATTCATCAAATGAAGTTGAGAGTTACGTGAAAAACAGCGGTCTAATACCAATCCAGAAGTTCCAGGTGGAAAAACATCAGGTAAGAAAAACTTCTAGCACTCCACCGTCTAATCATCACAGAAAACACATCACGAGATGCTAAGAATTTAATCTGAACAACAGTGAATTGGCAGAATCAGATTCTCTTTGTGCTCTCCAGTGTCAGGGTGCGTAGGGGTGAAATATCTGCCGGGAGAATGAAGCTAGAGCTCTGCCCGCTGAAAGCCGTACGTTGGGCAGTCACCGATTCTAACTTACGGAGAAATTATTTCACAATACAACGAAAAGGTGCACAAATGGTTTCCAAAGCAGCAGAATCAACATCAATGAAATAACAATCGAATGGCCAAAATAAAAAGAATCTGAACAATTCAAAGTCTGGAGCAAATGCTTCTGAGCATCGGGAAATTCAGTAATTTTTAAGGTTATTTATAAAATACAGTGGTATATCGCCGGCCAGAGCTCTAAAACAAAAGGAAAATATATAATCGTTGGAATGTCAGCCTCCCTTACAGCTCGGTTATGAGTGCAATCTGCAGCACCTTTGTCATTTAGTTGATAGTTCGGCGCTAAACACCACCTGTCCCATCAGCAGTGCCTCATTTTGAAGGTGGCACGTACAGCGAATGACCCTATTTCCCTCTTTAGCAGTATCACTTTCTCGAAAAAGTGAAGGGCGAGTGACCCGATCAAGAGGTGAACATCGCCAGAATCTGAAATGAAAGTGTGAAAGAGAAAACAAAGCTGACCACAAATTCGATACTGCTTACTGACGTGAAAACGCATTTGTTTTGCACCTGTCCGTTTTCTTATCTCATCGTTAAATTACGTTTCAGTAAAAGCAAGAACCCCAAATCATTTAACATAAGTTCCACCAGAAGCAAATTTAATTAATTGACATACTGAGTGAACAAACAACATTAAAATCTGAACTGTCTACTGACAGGAATGCCTGAGTTTTCTCTTTAAATTAAATTAAAGACAAAAAACAGTACCATGTGCAAGCTAAGGTGTTCTCTCCATTGATATTCATTGAACACGAACCGCAGATGCCTAAAATAAAAGTATTATGAACAAAATTTCTTAATTACAAATGTGATTGAGAACACCTTCTCGACAAGATCTTCTAAAGGTCAATGTCAGATCTTGTTCATTTTTGATTTTTATCAAAGCATCCAAAACCATAGGACCACAGTCGTTTATGTTAACCTCGAACGTCTGCACGTATGGCTTTTTTCCACTTTCGGGATCATAGCGATAAACTTGGAATTTCTTAATCTGAGACACGGCAGTGGAAGATGCCAACCGAGCCGACTGAAAAGAAAACCACAGTTGAACTTATCGATGTGTCTGTCCACTTAAATTTCTGATACCAATGGTTAATACGTACATTTTGAGCAAGGTCTATCATAACGGCCAGGTTGGCTCTACCAACAGCTCTGCAGAACATCATTGCACTTGCACTAAAATTAAAACAAACAGCACCTATAATTACGCAGTGAAACAAAACCCAGCGTCAACATGAAAACATAAGGGAAGTTGTAACTGCGAGATAGTTAATTTTCTCATTTTAATTATATTCGTTAAACATATCGTCCTAAATCATATTCAGCTGTGACATTTTGAGAAGTTATTAAGTTTTATGCCCTTCTTGCTCGAAACAAAGATACCTTATTTCTGACTGATGGTTTAAACTACTTGTTCATACATGACATCACAGAATAAGGCAACAAACTAATCTAGCCTGTCTCAGCTTGTATGAAGATTTTGTTAGTAACATCCTTAACATAATAGGGAGATCATGTCGGCCAGCTGATTCTATAATGATTCCGCACATCATACAGATGAGTACAGAAATCTACGCAGCAACGGACATCGAAGTCACGCCTTATGAGACTACTCACAGAAATAGTTATGAGTATAACAACAGTACTAGGTGAAACAAACAAGTACCCAAATCCGGAAAAAGATGACGGTCAACACCAGATACCGATATGCAAGAAAAAAATTGATGTCAATACAGATTAGACTGAACATTAAAACAAGTTTGATGGTAACCGAAGTATTCAAGCTGCAATTCCGCTTAAAACCCGTCTAATAAACTATATTCCACTTTATTCCACTAAGCTGTAAAAAACTTCAACCTAATGCTGCGTACACCACGAGTTGTCTGTAGTTCTGCTACATAATAAAGGATGTCAACAAAAACAGAAACCATTATTTATAAGTTGATAACAGAAGCACAAGAAACTCAATTTTAACATTTTACAATCTACAAGATACTGATTTTAATCAAGCAGAATAGTGGAAACTTTTCGGCAAAAGACGATCTTACTGTCAAGTTGCGGCATTGTGCATAAGCCTCTAGATTTTTTCTCTTATGTGCATTAATATCAGGCAGTAGAAAACAGCTTCTTAGTATATTTCAATGCAATCATCTTTGTTAAACCATCACACACGTTCTTCACTCGAGCTGCCCTCTACAATTTCCATGTTGGCACGGTATACATTCATGAATCGAAATAGATCAAACTTTCACATAGGTGACCTAATGTATGACAATTAATAACTAAAATCGGGAATATATCAGCTATAATCGCAGATAAGTTCTACGACTCTTACAGGAGTAATTAAAAAAGGAACTGCCTGATACCAACAAATCATTGGCGATTATTGAACCGAGAAGGAAAAGACGGCATCGTGAAAACCAGTCAGATTTACAGAGAATAAAATTACATAAATCTAAGTGTAATCCATTGAAGATTAGAATTCATGTTCAAAAACTTCTGAAGCACGGCGAATCTATTTTTTAGTTGCATAACGATGGCATTAATATGAAATAGCGGGCGTCCCTTCAAAACCTGCCGGAAAAAGAACCAGCAACAGTTATGAAACATATAATAAGAATAAGTTCCCTAAGAACTAACGTAATAGAAGTAATCCGCATTAGCACAACAATAAACACAAAGAATCAACTAACAAAATAGGACAAACACCTAACTACACTGATCAACAACGATGCAGGAAAGTATGATACAATACCTGCATTCTACGTAACAAGCAGTTTATTGGTAAATACATAATATACGGATCATCTTTTGTGTATACTAAGAGTGTACTGTAGTTTCTACCATGTTTTAACCTTGACAAACCAGTGTTTCACTGTATATAGAATACTATGGACACACAGACTTTCAAAAAGCAAAGAAAATTCCAAATAATAGCTTTGGATATATAAATATCTGTCAGTAATCATATAAAATTTAAATTTTACACGAGTGCATATCAAAATAAGAAATTACGGGTCTCAGGGAAACATTTTCCATGGGATTGCACAAATCACATTTCTGCCATAAAAACAACGACAGGAATGTATAATTAAGGAGCAAATTAGGCCTGAAAGTTCAAAGGCCTTGACCGTTTATGGATTTTACGTTTATTCCATTCTTAAAGAGCAATATTCGAATAATGTCAGGCTCGTTTGCCCATCATCACCGAAAGTCATCATGTTGCAATTGGAGGTGTTCATCAAGCGAAAAATATTTCACGGATCGTACTTTCGAAAAAATGAACAAGGTTTGCGGGCAATAATTTCACAGTGACCTTTATTTCAACTGGTTGAAAAGGCATAAAGTATTCTGTTGATCTCGTTTGTGTTGTTGATTTCGTGTGAAATTATTGTCTGTCCCTGCCAACCGCTCGCAGCCGGAATACAGGAGAAGTCGTCTAACAGTAATGTGTCATTTTAATTGACCATCACGACAGGTCATTTCTATACGTTCAGTGAATACCTCATATTTTGGATGGCTAAGGTTCGCTTTCTGCAATCGCTGATCGCATCCACTCCGTTTTACGGATACATTTGAAGTGGAAGTCTAGAGGATTCAATCCATTTCCTTAAACGCTATTAGTCATTGTTCGACATAAAAAAGTCAAATTTCGCCGAAACTAAGAAACAAAGCATTTATCCTGCCTAATCCATGCAAAATACCACGTCTTTGTCAAAGATAAAACTCGCTTTGAAATACATTTCAAACCACGAGAAACTACCAGCTTTCAGAAAGTTAAAAATAAAATGTCTCATGTCTCACATATATTCCAGCAAGGATGCTGCCGCTCACAAAATGCTGACTGTATTTATTGAGGGTATCGCTGATCTATGCTCACAAATCGTGTGGCTGGATTGTGTCATCGCTGACTATCCTTGACTCTGACTTTTCAGTGGGAGACTGATAAGATTTAAATGCTGACACATAACAAGGTTCCTCGGGATTCTCATTATGAGTCTACTCGTATATTAGGCAGAATGAATCGTTAAGAGTCCCAACTTTATTGTTTTCTGTAATAGAATCCATTGCATGATCCAAGAATGACAATACAGTATTTTGAAAAAGAGATTAAAATATTATATCATCGATGTAATCCTGCTTAATATTACAACGGTCAGCGACGATTGTCTGTAGCGGGTGAGGCAAATGGAGGCGCTCCGCCGCATCGCACCTTAGACATGAAGCGAACAAAAGAGCGAATTCTCGCCTCCAACAAAGGACTGAAAACGTTGACCGAACAACACGACATATATCGAGCATGCTCAGCTGAATCATGCACATCTTATATCTTAGCAAATGACACGCATAAATATGAGCGAAAGTTGAGCAATGGGTCAACTCCAAGAAATTTTGCTTGGATTGAAGGCAGTTTATGCAAGTTGAAGGTTGACCAAACTCGTTGAATCACTATCACCAAACTCACGATGCAATTGCATCACAGTTGCAACGAGACTGACAAAATTGGAATAGGAATGTAAAGTCCCTACTTGAAGCTAGCGAAAATGATGTTGACAAATGGCTGCGACAGTACGCTCTTGAACGTCTCTTTTGTAGAGATGGGTATGCCTCCCTGTTTAAAAATATGTTATTTGACTGGATAAATCACATGGAAACTTCGGATTATTGAAACTAGTAGAGACAAATTAACCATTCCTGAATTTCCTAGTAACAAATTTCACAATGCCTATTGTAAAAGAAAGTGTTGTCGCGGCGATTGCACTCATGAAGCTAAGTTCAACAGCAATACAGAAAGGCATGATTTTCAGACTTTCATTTATTCAGACTTTACAGGATTGAAATTAATAGAATCCTTTGATTAATGAAATGATGTAAAAGTACTTCCTAAAAGTGAACTTAACTCGGTGGATACAGTGATATGCCTCGTTGCTACACCCTGGCATAATATGTCGCAGACTTACATGCACAGTTTAAAGAAATCAATATCCATTTCGATTTCAGAGATTTACGCTTTTATGTACCCTCCCTCATACCGCTCTCTTCAATTAATTTATTGACATAATGTTTGAATTTTATCGGTGGTAACAACAGGCGCAAAAACGATTTTTGAGCTCGTCCGTTCATAAGATTAAATCTCTTAAGGGGTAGGCAGTTTTGCGCCTCGGCATGAATCATTCAATAATCGAGAAATTAATCGTTCAAAGCGGACACAGCAGATCTGCTGAATAACAGGCTGACGGCCACGTCGTAAATGAAGCGGTGGCGTG